AGCTATTATTTTTAACTACCTTGCTACCATTGCAGCTATTTTCCCTGTGCTTCTGCTTTGCTCTACTTGACCCAGAGCATAGAGCTTCCTAGAAATAGTTTAAAGAATGTGCATTCCCAGGACCATTTTCTCCAGGTAGGTAAATCATAAGGGGAAAAATGGGATAGATTTTGAAATTCAAAGTGAGAGGCATAACAATAGTTTTCAGAACACTGTTCCTTTTCATCTTGCCAACTTATGTGATATCCCAGGGAACTTCCTGAATATTTCCATATGTCTATATTGGACCCAGAGTCTGTTTGGTGTTTGAGGGATGTACTTTGGAGTCAACACTCTGAAGGACAGTAGTCCTTTGAAATATTTTATATTTATTTGAACTAGAACATTTCTCAGTTCTTCAGAGGATAGTCTGTTTTAAACCCCATGGTACTCTACATTGGAGTGAATGGCTTGGTAACACGGCATACAAGCATCCCAGGGGTAATACGAGGCTTTTCATTTTTCTTTTCTAAAGGAGATTTTTCAAAACAGATTTGTTTCTCACTTTTCAACTACAATTAATGCCACACTTAAGAAAGCTTAAAACACCACTGTTTGTTGTAAATTATGTACTAGTTGCACCTAATTATAATTTTGGATACTTATTAGATCATTTAAGGAACCTCAGCCACCTTCATTATTTCTTTGTCCCTTTCAAAATCTTCCCAACAAAAGCAAATTATTTTACAGCTGGCTTAAATTGCACTGAAACACATATTTAACTCTGTATGTGTGCAGAGTACTTCAGGACACATCCTGCTTTACTGTGCTCTGAAATGCAATCATCTCTTTGGATTCATGCCCAGAGCTGCTTGGATCAGGAAATTGTTCACTTACATGCAGGAAGACAAACAAGAATGCTACCAAGATACTGAAAACGTTGAATCAGCACACATGGTCATAAAGAATCTTTGATTTTCCTCTTTGAATTTCAAAAGTAACATCTCAGAAGCTATATTTCACATTTTCAAAATTTTCTGCAATAAAACATCCATAGGAAATTTTACCACTCTATCTTTGTTGAAATTAGTCAAAAATTCTACCCCCAGAAGTACAAACATCAGTAATAGAGAACCCGAAATTTTTCTAAACTATTATTTTTCTTATTATCAGTTCTCCTGCCAACATCCTTTTTCCCAACTGCTCAGTTTTAACATAAACATGTGGAAGGTATCCTTCATTCATTAATAGATAAATCAAAGAGATAGTGAATTGATGAGCATATACTACCCAAATATTCTTTATTTGGCTCTAACCCAAATGTTAGTGAATTATAACTCTCTAGCCAATCTTTGCATTGATATTGTTTTATTACTTCTACAGAGGCTCCCTACTCCAAACTCCAGCTGAACCCAATTGTGAAGGAAGTAGTCCAGGAAAGGGCAGGAGAACACTTGTTCTCACTGACAGCATTGATGGAACGCATGTGTTGATACATTCCTGCTATGAGCCCCGTCCTCATCTAGCAGTTACAGGCATGTCTAGAGAGGTCACATCAGTGTTCAGCTGCCATACTTTTTGCCAAGTTGTTTTTGGTTTTTAATTTTTGTTTGTATTTCTGGAAACATATGTAATATTCAGGGCTTACTCCTGGCTCTTCACCCAGGGATCACTCCTGGCGTGACCCAGGGGAGCATTTGATGTGTCAAAGATTGAACTCGGGTCAGCCATGTTCAAGGAAATGCCCTATCACTATACTATCTCTCCAGCCTTTAACCCAACAATAGGAGCACTGCATATGCTAAAACTGGATGAAAACTTAAAACTCTTTTAAGGAGACACTTGCCTTTCTCTAATAATTATCCTGGTTTTAGCTAGATAGAAAACTGCATCATGAACTCAGAAAACAATAATGAAAAAAATGTACTCTTTCGTCTCAGTCTTCACTAATAGAACATTAATAGCTTAGAAACCTCTCCATATCTAAAATTTGGTGAAGAAATAGGATGTACAGCCTTTCTGCCATCTGCAGGCATTACACAGAATACACACATGAAAAGCTGTGTGGCTATGTTTTTCCCAGGATTTACTTTGGTTCTTCACATCTTTGAACATATCCAGAGGGGCATGTAAAGAATGATGAGCTTCAATTCATACCATTAAAGGAAATATTGGAAACAAATTCTGTTTAGTCCAGAGAAGAGATTTTAAAGGGATTGGTGGCTGCCTTTAAATACTTGAAGAACAAGTTGTAGATGTTTTTGTGTCCTAGTAGTACCATAGACTTCCTGGAGAGGTCTATTCAGACCAGTATAAGCAATAATAAGTACAAACTGCAGTGACTTCCCAGAGGCAATGAGTTCTGTGAGCCAGTGGATCTTAAGGGAAATCTTGAGGATTGTTCTTCAGATGTTATGGACAAAGTGTCTACATGGCCGACCCGAGTTCGATTCCTCCGCCCCTCTCGGAGAGCCCGGCAAGCTACCGAGAGTATTCGATATGCCAAATACAGTAACAACAAAGTCTCCAATGGAGACGTTACTGGGCCCGCTCGAGCAAATCGAGCAAGATAATATGAAGTGACAAAGATGACCTACAGATACTGACCAAATCCTTGAGGAAGGCCATAAAGGGACAATACTCATGTGTCCTGAATAGAATCAAGTGTTCTTGCTTTGGTAATTCCTTTGGTAACAAGGTAGGTGGAAAAAATCTGGAGCTGCTTAGAAAAATTACTATAGGATGCTCAAGTGAAGAGCATGAAAATCAAAGTTAGGGAAAATTCAGATGGAACAATTAGAGAACTTGAATATTAAATAATTTGCCTTAATAAAGGCTATGATTCAAGAGTGGCAGAAATGAAAGGAAAATGGGGTATCAGTAAAGAACTTATTCTCATTAAAAAAAAATAGCTACTTTCAACCCTTACTCCACTGAGTGGTGTCATCACTGACTCTAAATTCTTCCTCTTGGTGCTGAGAATAGAAAGGTAAGTACAATTCTTGATAAATGTTGATATGCTCTTCAAAGTCTGGATTCATTACACATCTCTTCACTAATTTTAGCATGATTATTTGAAAGTTCAATAGTCTCTGACAATTATTTTGCTTTCTGTATTTGTTCTCTTAATTTGTAAAGCAATTGTGTTTTCAATTAATGAGTAGTTACCGACAGGAGAAAAACAAAGTTTCAAACAAATTCCTGAAAATAAAAAACTTTTTCAATATGAATATAGCTATAAGTACCTATTTTTCCTAAAAGAAACTCATTTCACTTAGGCAGGGTTGTGTTGTTAGATTTCTTTTTTTTCCCCCATTAAATTAAAAGACTAATTTCCCTGTGATGTAATTCTAACAAAAATAATTTCTGATTTACCACTTCTGAGCAAAGCAATAGTCACACTTGACTAGTTATCCAAATCACATGAAGTTTAGGTAGAAGAAAATGTTGAACGTATTCTTATGGGAAATATAAAGCCTTAAGTTTATAAATACCAATTTATTTTCTCTGAAATATGGGTTTATGCTTTTTTTAAAGCAATAAATTTCCCTTAGGAAGAGTCTAAATCTTGAAAAGATAGCTTTAATATTGTAAGTTCTGAAATGAAAATAAGGCCAACTCTTTGCAGTATATTTAACCCCTCTGATGTCTTATTCCACACTTTCAACTAGGATCATATTTCACACACCTGAATTCCAGTTGTTTTTTCTTGGACATTCCCCCAAATGCCATTTTGATAGCATCAGGGCCTATCCATGACAGAGGAACATGCTAACAGATTTAAATAAAATAAATATTCCCAGGAACACTCTCTAGCCACCAAAACAAAAAAACAATGAGAAAAAAGTTCCTTGACTGGTTTTGGACATAAGATATTACCTGATCATACCATTTGTATATTTCTTCAGCCATTTCTCTCAAACTGAGTTCTATGAAGTACCCAATTAGTTTTTTTTAAAAAGGCCACCTTTCTCATCAGACCACCTTGGTATAACATAAAACCAGTTTTTGTTTGACAAAAAAGAAAACAGATTTTAGAAGTGATTTAGAGAAAGTACTCACAAGCCCATCTATAACAAGAGAAGGTAACTAATGAGTTCTTATTCTTTTTATTATATTATGTATCTGGAAAAATTTTTTTAAATTTCAATATAAATATAGCTACAAATATCTGTTTTTCCTAAAAGAAACCAAGTTTAGTTGGGCAGGATTGTGTTGTTAGATTTAATTTTTTCCATTAAACTAAAAGATTATGCCCTCCTTGCTATGAAATTCCTTTTTTCCCACTAAGAAAAAGAGACATTTTGCCATCAGTGTACCTCCCCACTACCCACCATATTTATTATAAAAGAATCAGAAATGTTGAGTGGTATTCCTAGGGTGTGATAAAATTTAGAAACATAGTTAAAATTTTTGGCAGGATAATTTATTCAGCCATATTTTCCTCTCAGCCCTAATTTCATTAAAAAAGGAAAATATATACATATATAAATCTGTATGTGTATGTGTATATATATTCCATTTAGATACGGGGAAAAGGGGAAAATATGGAAAAATCAGCAAAGATTTTTTTTATCAATTGTCTCCTACATAAAAATAGTCGAAAGCATGTTGTTATACAGATAATTTCTGAGATAGTAGAAGAAGGTGCCAAAAAGTATAATCATTTCTTGGTCATCAAGGGGTAAAATTTATCTCCAATGTTTCTAAATGGAATTCTAAAACTACTTCACTGAGTTAAAAGAAAATCTTTATTTTTCTGCCACTAAAATTGGGACGGGGGGGTAAGTGGGGAACACTGGGAGGAGGGATGGAAGCAGGTCTCTGAGATGCTAGAGTTGTCCCATGGTTTGTGGTTCTGATCTGCTAAGAAAGCCCTCCCAGCACCACGCCACAGGGCCCATGACACCATTGGGAAGGGTGAGGTCTGTGCCTATGCATCCATAAGGCAGTGTTGGGGGGACCGCACCTGGGGAGGCAGCAGATGTCTGATGTCTAGTTTGCATTGATCTTACATTTAGACACAGACTCAGAAGAACAGACACCCCCTTTTCCAGTGCCTTCGGAAAGATTGCCGCTGCGTAGAATGAGTCCTTTCTCCTCCACCCTTAATCTACAACCCAGCTTCCCCGGGAGATCCTACTTTGATTTGAGATCCTCACCCCACCAGCTGAGCTTGCATTCCTCTTTACAGTCTCTCAATGCACCGGGTGAGCTGAGCACCTCTGACCTTTCCTCTTGATCTTTGTGCCTTGAAGGCATCTCTGAAATACCTGTTTTTGTTCTTGCCATTCTTGTATGTTGGAGAGGGCCATGAGCTGATCTGTGTCTGTGACCTGCTTCCAGTATGAGGAGCATTTGGATGATGGAGCATTGTGGCGTTCTTGTTTGTATGGTGTGAGGACCAACCATTGAGCTGTGGTCAATGTTTAATGGCATTGGAAAGTGATCAATGAAGTTGTTCTTTTTTTGCACAAGCTGGTAGCACCATGGATGACCCTCTCTGTCATCACATGCAGTGACACCACACGGCACGGGTGCTTGGCTGAGTGGAGGGGGTGGCCTATGTTTGGAGGTTTGCAGTCCTGCTGTATCCAGGAAACCAGCAGTGTCTGGAAGACTGGATCAGTGCATCCAGCTGAAAGTGGTCTGATTAAACATAGACTCAAGAGATCTTTATTTAAAAAATAAAATCAAAACACACCAACAGAAGAATGCATCCTACAAAGCAGACAAACCAAAGCGGAAGTGAAAGCATTTTCTGCAAAAGCCTGTGCTCACTGGTAGGACGGTTGTGCTCATGGCTGATTTTTCTTTCCAAGCCAGGAGGGTCACGGGAGTACCAGTAGTTGAATCAGAACCCCTTATTAATGCCCAAAGTCTGGTCTCCTGCAGTTTTCCCACAGTCTAGTGGATGATGACAGGCTGATTTCAGAGCAGCTAAACCCGTATTAGTGTGCAGAGAACTCTGTCTGGCCCATAGAATCTTAAAAGATCTGAGATGCAGACCCGTTTGATCTCTTCAGGACTATATTGTAATCATGGATACATATGGCTCACATTTCACATTCCATAGGTTTCTTTGGTATTTTATTTTCTTCTTTTTGCTCATCCCACATTCTGGAATGAAGAAGGCCACAGCATGACAGTGCAAAAAGGATGCAGGGACTTCAAACTCTTGTTAAAATGGCGTTTTTCTTTGTGCTTTTACGTTTCTTATTGTTTTCTTGTGCACTATGAGCTTTCAAACATGCTTTGTTATGGAACTCTTTTTGCTGTGTCTAATGTACTAAAAATTGTTATAGTCTTTGTAATGTATATTGTCTCAAAATAAAATAAAATGTGGGTTTGGGGATATTTGATGGCTGTGTTTGACAGCATTGTTCTAGTTGTATCATTGAATCTATAAATGTAAAATGGTGTGTTTAAAATAGTGTAAAACTGTTTCAGAAAACTTGTTTGGAAACAAATTTGCACCTAGCATGATTCATTAAAAAAAAGTAAAAGCCCTATTCATATTCTAGAAATGTATTTTCAATGCTCAATATAAGATTCCGTTTATAGACTCCATGTATTTCATATTCGTTGCACTCTAACCCATCAATGGGAATTGAAGTGATAATTGGTAGAAGTAAAACAGAAAAATCAGTCATTAGTTGAAAAATGATTCTTTTACATGTGAATTATTTCATGCTTCAATTAATATTCAGGTAATACTTTTTAAGTTTTGGTTTTGCTTCAATCATTAGTCCTTTGTATCAAGTTGCTGTTTCAGTTCTTCTGAAAATATTTTTAATTGATGTATTTCCCTTCAGTTGTTTTAACAATGAATAGATAAGAGCCTTGCTGAGTTGCAAAACTTTACTCCCTCCCCCCACACTTATCAAGAATGGCTTTTCCAGATGAGTCCCACAGTACATTATAGTTCATATACCTTAGTACATTTTAAGCCTGGACTGCTTCCTTTACCCCAATGCATCATTGCATGGGCAAAGTAGGAGTATCCAAACCTTCAAGAGACTGGGGAAAAAATCCCATAGCTGATGTTAATATCCCTGAATCCTCTGCTACCCTACCATCTACCACCCTTCCCTAAGGTGAAAAGCACTCGTGTAGGACAGTGATTAAAGTAATTTGGGGGTTACTACATATAGCTTATTATTAATATTTTTCAGGTGTATTTATCAACATGTTTGGTTATCTGTGTATCATTTAACTTGGGACCAAATCACAACAAAAACCTCTTGGCATAACCAGAGTTAGAAGTGCATAGAATTGTGAAGTAGAATGGAGTTTTACCAAGATCCAGTGATTGTACATGTCAATTGGATAAATTATCATTTTAAAATTGCAACCTTTCTGAATAGGAAACCTTGTGGGAAAGATTGAACTTAGAAAATGATGAAAATTTTAAGTCTAGGAGTTAGAATTAATTGAAGAAGGATTATTAAACTGCAAGAGCAGAGAAGTAAATTTTACCAGCAAAGTAAACTGACATGATCAGGGCTTTGTTTTTTCATGAATCAGGCTTCTGGTGATTAGATTTAGTTGGTGATTTTACATGTATAAAAATAATTTTTATCCCTCAGTCATTGTTTCATAGCTTTGATGTGTAGTATTTCTTTATAGGATGCAATTTTGAGACACAATCTGCACCATACTCTCAATTAGGCAAGTATACCTACTGTAATCATTATCTTTGACTTGTATGATTGGTATGCTCAACTTCCTTCACAAAATAAATGGCAGCAGTTTATTTTATGTCAATAAACTTGTCTATTTGTCATTCAAACCCCATTATAATAGTTTCTGAAATTCTTAGAAAACTGAAAAAGACACATGTATGTTTCAATTGTGTACCACAAAGAAGACTTGTTTCCCAATTTCCTTATGCATTCATGCAAAGTACTCTTTATGGGTCCTCAATAGAGGTACCAATACGGCAAATCGCTGTAGTGTATGTGGCATTTTAAGTTGACCCCCTTTTTGATATTCATCAAGGCAGAGACTTTTTTTTTTCTTATCAATGTCAATTTTGCTTCCTATTTCTTTCTCCTATGCCTTTCATTTGGAATGACAACAGTTGACATTAAAAAGCTGTTGGCAGGTATGGAATAACCTTATTTTGTTACAAATAGCAAAGACCAAAGTGCATGCATGGTGACACACAGGTTCAGTGAATCAGCATCTTCATCTCTCGGGAGTGTGGCTATTGGTAGGACCTGGAGCATAGCAATACGCGCATAGAAGTTACTGTCCCTGCACCCAACATTCAAAACATCTACCACTCCAGCAAAATATTTCACCTGTTTTAGGAGCAATAAGCCAAGTATTATTTAGCCCTAAAAAGGAAGCCATCTATCTGACATGCAAGTCAAACTCATGAAAACAAGCTTATATTACTGATGACTTTGCAGCTTCAAGCTTTCAACAGCGTTGAGGAAATATTACAAAAACTAGATATGAGTGTTTCTGCCACATTCCTGGTTCTGCTCGGTGTGTTTTATCCCTCCTTCATCTAGGACTTGCAAACCCACCTCAGGTTATACAGACCTCTTAGCACACCCCTCTTCGTCTCTGGTGTACTATTCTGCCAGTTTTCCAGGTGAATGGACTTGGGTCTTTCAAAACCGATGCCACTTCACTCCCGGATCACCCGGTTGGGAAGTGCAGTGTAACCTCTGCTGAAATGGTCTCATGTCCTTCATCTGTGAAGTGCAGAGAACACCAGCTCACTGGACGTGCCCCTGTCTGCTCACTCAGAGTCCCTGCAGGGCCCAGGACATCTCCTCCCTGCATGACAGCATGAACCAGAGCGCAGTGCTCCTCCTCTGACCAGGAGCAAGGGATGGTGTGAGCTGCCAGGGCCCTTCTCATAACCCCCTTCACTTCTCTTCTCCCCCAGTGGCCTGGTTTGCCTTCGACCCTGGCTCGGCGCATTCTGACATCATCCTCTCCAATGACAACTTGACCGTGACCTGCAGCAGCTACGATGACCGGGTAGTGCTGGGGAAGACAGGCTTCTCCAAGGGTGTCCACTACTGGGAGCTCACCGTGGATCGCTACGACAACCACCCTGACCCTGCCTTTGGCGTGGCTCGCATGGACGTGATGAAGGATGTGATGTTAGGGAAGGACGACAAAGCTTGGGCAATGTATGTGGACAATAACCGGAGCTGGTTCATGCACAACAACTCGCACACCAACAGGTACCCTGCAGCCCCCAAACCAAGCCATCTTCACGTTGGCTTCTGGTCAAGAATGAGAGCCCCAATTCAAAGACCTATTAAACAGACACCATTCCAGAAGCTGGATAAGCGGCCTCCATTAAGTAGCACAGGAATTCTACTCTTCTTAGCTGAGTACATCTGCTGGGTTTTTGGTTGTTGTTTTGTTGGATTTTGTTGGGGAGAAACATTCATTTTTGCCTGCTTAGTTTTTCGTTGTTTTTTTTTTTTTGCATTGAACCGAGAGGCATGAACTAGGAACCCCCATGCTTTTCCATTATAGAGAAACATTCCAGGGTTCTGAAACCCAAACATACAACTGACCAGAAAAACAAGTTTGGACAAGTTACTTTGGGTATTTTTTTTATTTTTGAACCTCTGTTTCCTGAGCTTCCAAATAAGAATAATATTTGTCCATGCTGGGTGGTCCTCAAAATTAAATCAGAAATGCAAGGATGCTTAACATCAGAGGCACCGGAGAATAGAAGCAGTTGTCTTGTTACTATGACTATTATCACTACCACTACTCAGAACTGAAGGCTTTATTAAGCTATATATTATGGATATCAAACAATCTGCATAGCTTTGTACTTGAAGAATTTTCTTACTCTTGGTCAAGTTCTGCACACCTCATCTCCAAAGTTTTCCTCTACCACAAAGCTGAGACAATTTTACCCACATTTGTGCCAGACTTTCTTTTTCATCTGATTTGTGCTTTTCCTTTCTTCCTCAAATTTCCTAAATAAAGAAGTGTCTTTCACAGACATGGTTCACTTTATTCTTGACTTTACAAAATTCTCATTGGTGTCTCTGAAAAAGAAAAACAGAAGGGTCTAGGACTTAGTTCAAAGTGCTTGCCTGGCATGTTTGAGGCCCTGCATTGGACCCCCAGCACTGTATAACCCCAGCTCCAAATTTGCTACCTATGACTCTGGTGGCCCCCAGGACCGTTGGCGCAAATTGAATCCGAGGGTTGAGCATGGAACATGCACCTCAGGGCCAACCATCACAGCTGCCTGTGGGTCGCTGGAACACACTGCTGGGGAGGCCCCTATTTTTCAGTAGGGATAATCAGATTCAAAGGAAAAGAAGTCAGGTAGTGTCAGTAAAGGGGCACCCCCTTTAACCCATCACTGTCGCATCACTAGCCAGGAGGCTTTTCAGGCTTTCACTCCCTATGCCCATTGTTATTTGCACTGTCTTCCATAACACAGTGCAGATGAAGATCAGGCCCCAGCACTTGAAGTGAGCACTAGTTTCAACCTGCCAGCAACCCAAGATCCTCTGGGACTTACAGTTGTGGAAATCCTCTGTCACTAGGTTTCTGATGCCCACACCCAGGTACTATGCTTACTTTTTCCTCTTAGGCTCTTTATTGGGTCCAGAGGAGTAAAGGTTAACACAAGTGCCACACTAGGCAGAGAAACACATTCTGAACACACCTGCTTGCATGCAAACTGCATGTCATGCTGTCCCTGTTAAAGCTGTGAGTTAACAAGTCGCCATCTGAAACCTAGCAGCTGTGTCTGTGCTATGCATGCTGGGCTTGGGGGGAACCACACTGAAGTCTCTTTGCTCTGCTGAGATGAGGTTCAGTACTGCTAGAAAGCAAAGAGGGGCAGAGGCACAGATCTTAGCCCCCATGCCCGAATGAGTTTGTGAAATTGTCCACTGAATTGTATGGCACAATTCTCTGTGTGATTGTATTTGAATGCAGGTGCTCTAAAATCACTCCTGCTCCTACAGTAGAATCACTTCCCTTGACAGGGAGACTCTTCTTCACTGTTGTCATTTTAGAGAGAATCTCCATCTTCTTAACTTAAGTGCAGTGGATCCCAAATTACCATTTTTCTGAAATGAATTTTGCTGTTGACATAAGTTCCCAAGCCACTTTTTGCTGCATATTTTTCCATTTTAGCTTAGATAATACTTAATAGTCATGTTCAAATGAAGTCATTTTAGATTTAATGATGTTGAATTCATACCATTTGTGCAAAACCAGCACGGTAGATATAGGCAGAGCTCCAATCATCCAAAGTCAACCTTTTTGTCATTATTATTTATTATTGTAGTTATTATTTGGCTTGCGGACCACCCTGGCAGTTCTTAGAGCTTATTGCTGGCTCTGCACCCAGGGATCACTCCTGGCAGGCCTGGGAACTATATTGAGTGCTAGGGATAGAACCCAGGTCAGCCATGTGTAAGGCAAATCTGCTGAACTATTGCTCCAGCCCCATTTTTATGTCTTTAATACTCTTTTTTTCTACTGCTGGATTTGAATAGAAAACCCTGTGAACAATCTCACTCTCAGCAATAGCAGAGCAGTGTGGTTAAACTTGTACCTCTCAACATGTGGCAGTACTTTTCCCTCACCCTCCAGGGACTGAAAATTGGTTTGGGCAGGGGTGGAAATGAGCAAAAACTTTTACTCATATATATATATCAATATCTGTATACGTATGTATATATATCATATCACAGATATACATACAATCACATAAAAAGATATATATTGTATATCTGTGGCATTTGAATGTTGTGTGTGGGAAAAATCTATTCCAAACAGTTCCTGGGGTGGGAGTTGGGGGAAGACAATCGTCTTGAATGGGTTGAGAAACCTGATTTTACCGTGCATAAGGAGGAGCTGCAAAACTAATAACAGGCCAGTGAAGCCCAGTTGTCTTCTTTCCTCACAGAACAGAAGGAGGGATCACCAAGGGAGCCACCATCGGGGTCCTTCTTGACCTAAATAGGAAAACCTTGACCTTTTTCATCAATGATGAGCAGCAAGGCCCCATAGCATTTGAGAACGTGGAGGGTATGTTCTTCCCCGCGGTCAGCCTGAACAGGAATGTGCAGGTAAGTTGAGGCTGCCTGAGCATCACCAATCCCCAAGGGAAGCCACTGGTCCAGATGAAGACCTGGAGCAAAGGAGGAAGGAGGGGGCTCTGCATTAGCAAATGAGATTACTGTAAACCCATCTGAGCTCTCTTTGTTGTTGTTGATGTTGTTGTGGTGGATGCCACACCCAGAGGGGCTGAGAGTGGGGGGGGGGGTATAAGGTGCCAGGGACAGAACTGAGGGCCTTCCACACATAGGGCATAGTCTCAGTCACCTCCATGGCCCCATGCGCCTCTCAATGCTTGGAAATACTCTAAACAATCACAGGTGGGAATCTGCAACTCTCTCTGTGCTTTGCTAAGGATTGGCCACCAGAGTCCTACATTCATCTCCAGGAGAAATTGAAGCTCTTGAAGCAGCTGACATGAAAACAAATGGGCTGACTTATGCCCCGTTCTACATGAGCCTGAGAAGTGGCAGTACAGGACTCAAGTGTTAACACCATTGTCAAAAGAGACCTAGCATCTTCTCTGCATTCTTACACATGTCTGCTTGGTGTTAGGAAAACCTGCCCATGAGCTAGGTACTTGGGACTCTTGTAGGAAGAAAACAGCAAGTTCTCTTTTATTCATATCTTTACCAGATGTCTTAAACAGGTCAGGTGCTAATATACATATTTAGGATAGAGCAACAGAGAACAAGCCTTTCCCTCTTTATGCATACATTGTAGTTACAAGAGTGATAAGCATGATTGCTACCCATTAAGTATTATGTGATGAAAGGTGATAAAAGAAAAGTAGGAAAGACCCTGGGAGGATGAGGGTTTCAGAGTATATGGTTGGAATGGCAGTTGAGGCCTTAGATTGGGGAGTCAGTGTAGGAAGGCTTATTGGGATCCCAGGGGCTGAACTTTGAAGGGGCTGAAGTAGTGAGCTGTGGCTAGCTCTTTCAGGCAGAGATGAGCTGAAGCAGAGTTCGTAGACCTGAATGGCTTCATTCAGGAGAGCTGGGTAGAGAGGTCGGTGGGGGAGAGAGCAGACCCTGCCGCCTCTATCAGAATGTGGGCATTCACTTCCCTCTTTATTTATTTTTTTAATTTTTATTAGTGAGACACCATGAAGTACAGTTGTAGACTTACAAATTTTGTGCTTGGGTTTCAATTATACAATGATCACTTCCCTTTTGAGCTGCTCGACTTTATTCAGTAAATGGCATTCTTATCTGAGATAGGGGCTGAGAATAAAATACTGCAGCTGCCTTTTGAGCTGTTCAGAATCAGCCTCAGGAGCTCTTCAAACCAAAAGCAAAAGCAAAAACAAAAAAACCCACCCTCAGTGTTGTTTATCAGTTTGCGCAGTAGCAATGATTGCAATTCGGTGCCCTCTGCACTTCCCTCCTCCTGCAGTGAGACTGGGACTGCTGGGAGGCCAAAACTTAATATCACAGTTCAGCCTCTGCACAGGAAAATAGAAAACCAGAAATGGCTCAGAAGTCAGTCTCCAAAAAATCTCAACACTTCACACATCTTCAATTGTATCTAGCCTCTTGAAGAGTTCCCAGGTTATTCTAAGTATCTTTTGTCAGAGACTCTGTTATGGCAGAGAATATGGCTTAGTGGGAGAGCACAGGCTTGCATGGGGGAAGCCCTGGGTTTAATCTCTAGCACCTCCGGGTATGACTGCCCACAAATCACATAGAGAGAGAGAGAGAGAGAGAGAGAGAGAGAGAGAGAGAGAGAGTTTAGAGGACCAGAGATAGTATAAAGGCTAAGGCACTTGCCTTGATTATGGCTAAACCCAGTGTTCAGCACTGTATGTTCCTTTGAACACTGTCAGGAGTGATCTCTGAGCACAGAGCCAAAGCAAAAATACTGGGCAAGACTGGACAAGAAAGGGCAAAATGACTGGACCATATGAAATGGTCCTACTAGCCTTGTTTATGTAGCCCACTGAGGCATTTGGGGTTGGACAAAGAGTGAATAATGGAAGGACACATCATCAGCAAACCCCTATGTAATCCCCAAATGAAAAGTATATCTTAGCTGGAAGAAGCGGTGGATGAGTTACAAAGAAAGAGTAATTTTCATTGTTTTTGTTTTTCTAATCTCTGTTCATGAATTCAGCAGAGGTCAGTGTGGCCAACTTTGCTGTGTGCACACAGGCAGTGTGATTCGGTCATGAGGAGCACAGACTCCCCACAATCCTTAAAAGAGGCAGATGAATGAGAATCATATTATCAAGTCTAATCAGGATACGTGGCTTCACAACACAACACACTTCCATCAGTGTTCTCTTGAGCATCTTAGCAGAACTGTTGTTTAAAAGGAATTGAATGAATCTGCTTCTCAGGAGTAAGGGAAAGAGGAGACCCTCCTGCGCTGTCTCTGGACCTAACAGCCTCTTCCTTCACTGCAGGTCACGCTCCACACGGGACTGCCGGTCCCAGACTTCTATTCCAGCAGAGCGTCCATAGCCTAAGGCTGCTACTGTGGAGGCACCAGCGGCCTGGCCTTCCTCCAGCTGAGAGGGCAGCGGGGAGCTCAGCCCTGCACAGGGTGCCAGGAGCTGACCAGAGGAAGTGGAGAGATAAGCTGGTGCTCCATAGCCTCACACCCCCAGCTCAGCCCGCCCCCTCCCTCCCCTCCACCACTGTAATGCCCATGTTCTCTTCCACCTTCAGCCACTCTCACCAACAAAGGACCCAGACAGCCCACACGTCACAGCATCGCCATTCCCCCATGTCGCTTTTCTTGACCTTAATTTTTGATGTTGGTGAGTTCTCTTTGGTTGGTTTGTTTTTTCTGATCATGATTTTTTGGGGGGTGACTGACCTGAACTGGCACTGCCATGGGAAAATTCTCCAGATAACCTTGCTCATGCTTTCTTTGAAGCGAAGAAATTATTAGGAGGGGTAGGAAAGGATTGAAATTGGAGCTTACCTCCCAGAAAGGTCTCGCCCTGTGACCTCTCCTGCAACTTTAGGTCCACAAAATTGATCTTAGACTGCCGTCGGAGTGAACATAGCGTTGGCAGTTGTACTAAAGCAGTGATGAACAAAAATACCAGCCCAGGGCTGCAGGAAGGCACACAGCAGGCTCCTGGAGCCAGGTTCTCTTGCTGCAGCCCCAGCTACTAGATGAAGTGGGATGCCTGCATCTCAAGATACAGGCAGACCAGGGGACTTAACAAGATGGTTCCTTTTTTCAGAAAACATCGTTGTGGTTGGTTGTTTGTTTTTTATTTCTCGAGAACCTGCTATGGACCAGGCACTGTTCTAGGCACAAGAGACACAGTGGTGAACAAATACAGAAGTAGACTTGGCCTTCCTGGAACTTATATTCATGTAGTTGAACATACCAAAAATAAAAGAATTACAAATTATATTTTTTTAAGTTCTGGGAAGGAAATAAATAAGGGCCAAAGAGGCTAAATAGCAAGATCTTTCAGATCCCCTTGCAGGATGCTAAAAATCCACATGTTCTAGCCACATTGCTAGAAATGTATCTACTCAATGCCTTTCCACCGTGCTATTTTAATTATGGTACCTGCTGCTATTCACCACCGAGCCCTCCTTTGGTAGTATTGATGTCAGCATTCTTATTTAATAATGCTGCAGTGATACTAAGCCTTAAAAATGGATGTGGTGGGGAATGGGGGAAACACTGGCCAGGGAAAGAAGATCCCTTCTCATTCCTGAGGGATCTTCAGGTGCAGTCCACAAGCATTCATGTTCTCAGGACAAATGTGTTTGTTTTCACGTCTCCTCTCTGGGCCCATGATAAATGAACACTCCATCAGTCCTGCTGCCATCCACTACCTAACTTCCGGGAATAATTCAATGTTTGGGAAAAACTGAACTTGTATGTCATTGCTAACCTGATAGCAGAATAATCATACTTATTACTTCTATATAGAGATAGACTTATATAAGTTTCTCTTCAGATGCTTAGTTTGACATGAAGTTTTAGAAAAGGTAGGACCTAGAAAAAGGTTCAACATAGTTGTCTTTATAGTTGCTGATGAGCTAAGAAATTCACCAGTTGGGGAAACACAACAAATAAAAAGGGCAAAGAAGGATGAGAAAAATAAACCAGTTATAATTCAGATGAAATGTAATAGATGTAAATAGTGAATAATAATTTCAGTTCTCCCCCATCGGCTACAGTGTTTTTCTAGTTTAATGTACCTAATTTATTGAAGGGGTGCTATCCTGTGTATGTCTGTCCGGGTTTTTCTTGGCTACAGGGAAACTGTTGCAGGGCAACACTCGTTTAATATTTGATTTACCCTCCCATGAGAGTCGATGGCTGGGCCGCTGTAGACTCATAGTTATTCTTGTAACCTCATCCAGCTAATTAGATTTCCAGTGACTTGTAACACATAGCTTACACTTAATTGCAATGATAGATGCATATAGCTACTATACTAGAAAAAAACTGATATTTCTGGTGTGCCAATAAATGATTTTTATGAGAGCACATCATCTGTCTCTTTAGAGTGTCTTGCTTTTTGCTCGTTGGGGACTGACACTTCCACGTGTTCAAAACACAATTTCTTCAGCACTTGGTGCTAGAAAGCACCTCAAAGCTTAAAATCCCAATCTCCCCCAAACATCCTCCCCTGCACTGTCTCCCATGGTACTTACCTCCCTGTTTTTAACACTGCATGAAACAGGCATGATTTGGTGCTATTCGAGGTCAGCCTCCAGATATCAAGAACAAACTTGCTCCTCCAAACTTCACACACTAGTTCTGCAAAGTCTCACCAATTCCATACCTGGTTCCTTTGTCCTGTCTCAAAATGACTACAAAACAAAACTGTCTTTAAATAATTACATGATTAATCCCTTACACATTCTCTTTGAACTTTTTTATTAAAACACTGTGATTTACAAAGTTATAGCTGAATTTGAGACATATGATATTGTAGTACCAATCCCACCACAAGTGTCAATGTTCCCAGGTTCCCTCTCATATCCTTCCTGCCCCCACTCCAGCCTGCCCTCTTGCTAGACATATTTCTTAGTTTCTGTAGTTAAAGTTTAGGTCTCTTGATACTAGTGTTGTTGACTCCATGGTTTGGATATTTGGCTCTATCATTCCTTAACACCACCTTTGTACCTTAATCCCCTGACCTGGTCCCCATTGCTTCTTCTCTGTCTCTTATCCTCCTCCCATCTACTCTTCCTTTCTGTCTCCTCCATATACTCTAAAGCCAAGATTGATGTGGGTGTATCCCTTCTAAAACACTGCATTTCCTCATCTAATTATTCTGAATACTGCATACCAGTGATATCATCCTATGTTTATCCTTCTTATTCAGCCTTACACGAAAAAATGCTCATCATCACTTATTATTAGGGAAATACAGATCAAGACAACAATGAGATATCATCTTAAACCAGTAAAAATGGCAAATATTCAAAATACTGGGAGCAATCTCAGTTGGTGGAGATGTGGTGGAAAAGGAGCCCTCATTCACTGCTAGTGGGAATATTTTTTGGTCCAACCCCTATGGAAAACAGTATGAAAGGTATCAATAAACTCAGAATTGAGCTCCCACATGACCCAGCAATTCCACTTTTGAGTGGAATATAGCCAGGAACATAACCTGGGTATCTGTAGCCACGAGAGAAAATCATTCATTCAAAATTACATATGCACACCATATTCACTACAGAACTCAGTACAATAACTAAAATTTGGAATCAACCTAGATGACCAATAATAGATCAATGGATCATGATGACATGGTATATATACACAATGGAATACTATGTAGTTGTGAGGAATGATGAAATCATACAATTTGTGGCTACATGGATGGAACTGGAAAACATATTAAATGAAGTAAGCCATAAAAAGAAGGTTATTTGCCTTTTTCAGTCAATAGCCTTTGCTTTATATTTAAAGAAAACCGTCCTGCTTTATATTTAAAGGTCCTGCTTTCTGCTCTGCAACTGTCCTGGTTTCAGGCACTTCCTCTCCTCACCCTTTCTTCTTCCTCCTCTATTGACCCCATATCTCCTTTGGCTTTCTGTTCTTCTGTTCACTGCCTGGCAGCATGCTTGAGCTATTTTTCACTCTTCTACACTAAAGTTAATGAAACTCTGATTCTTGGTATTTCCTCATAGGAATGGTGAAGTGATTTGCAAGAAATCATCCTATTTTCTGAAAATAAGACTCTTGTTCTCTGCCCTATAATGTGTGCATTAATCTTTCACCCATCCATCCAGTGCAGTGGTTAAAAAAAAATGGGAGGCGTGGGCTTGTGAGACTGGTGATATATCAGCCATCAAAAACTTGCCTTCTTGCCTGCCATAGAGGCAGGCAGAGGGTGGAGGGTTGGGGGTTATGGGAGGGAACCTGGGGACACTGGTACTGAGAAATGTACACTGGTGGAGGGGTGGGTGTTAGAATATTGTATGACTGAAATCCAATTATGAAGAGCGTTGTAAGGGTCTATCTCACAGTGATTAAATGAAAAGTTTAAAAAGAAAAACTTGCCTTCTACATGTGAGGCCCAGGATTCAGTGCCCAGGACAGAAAAATAAATAAATAAATAAATAAGAATGAAGAAATAGAAAGAAAGAAAGAATGAAAGAAAGTTAGGGTTGACTTGGGATTTCTGATTATAAATCAAGAAAATTCCAGCCATTAAACAAAAACAAAATCTATTCTATAATTATATGAGTTTGTTAAAGAAACCTAAATAGGAGCTGGAGCAATAGCACAGAGCGTGGTGCGTTTGCCTTGCATGTGGCCAACCCAGGTTCGATTCCCAGCATCCCATATGGTCCCCTGAGCACCGCCAGGAGTAATTCCTGAGTGCAGAGCCAGGAGTTACCCCTGTGTGTTGCTGGTAGTGACCCAAAAGGAAAAAAAATTAAGAAAGAAACCTAGATAAAGTCAAATATTTGTGCCTCCTATTTCTTTGAGACTGGTGTTTTGGGAATTTTGCACATGATAAAATATGTCCCACGTGACTAAAACTACCTGAATCTCATATTAACCTGAAGAACCAGATTTTTGTAGAATGTGAGGTATTGTGTAAGTGAACAGTGGAAGCATCTAGAGGTAGTGATAGAAGAGCAGGAAGGGTGGTTGCCTTGCTCACTGTCAACACTGGACCAATCTCTGACACCACATATTGTCCCCTGAAGTCATATCTTAGCACAGAGCCAGGAATAAGCCCTGAGCATGGTTGGGTGTGGCCCAAAATAAAAAACAAATCAGAAAAAGGAAGCACCAAGTGAAATTCACAGAAACATAAGTATATGTTCTTTAGATTATCTGCCCCACTGATAAGAAAAGGTATGCAGAGGAAGACTGAGAGAGTGGGGAAGAAGGCATGGGACAGCAATTCCACTAAAAGTCACAACTGCTCATTTCAGGGCACAGGACATAATGGGGAGTCGCCAGGCTAGCCTCCCTCTCCACATCTCTACTTCCTTCACAGAAAAATCTAAGACCCAGACTATCAAGGACCTGAATTCACCCTTTCTTTCCACCCTCTCTAGTTTCTTAGTCAATGGAAAGATTTTAGTTTGCTTCCTCTCCCCCAGGGGAAGACATCTTTATACTTTTTTCTTGGCCTTTTCCCTGGGTACCTTAACTACTGCCTTTCCTAAGTGTCCATAGTGACTGAGGGCAGAAAACCTGCCACTGAAAAATTCCTCAAAATAATTCTTCCGTTCCCTCAACATTCATGCAGATTTTGTTTTCTTGGTTTTTTTTTTCCTAGAAATCAGATCAAAATCAGACACTATAAAATCTAAAAAGCATTCACTATTTGGTTGGTATTTTGCCTTCTCCCTCCAGTATTTATTCTAA